AAAATTTGCCTCGTTTTGCGACCAATTCGAGTTGCAACCAGAGTCACGGAACAGATTAAATTCGTAACTCGAGGTTCCACTGTATGTCCTAGAAAATGAAGCCACTGTTGTATATGCATTCACTTATGAATTCCTCTCAAAAAAGAATGGTTCCATGAACTTGAGACTGTTTTACCCTGTCATTAACATAATGGACATATTCCTAATGCAGCTTGCATTACAGCTTCAGTGCTGACTCCCCATTACCTTATTAATTTTGCTAAAACAGAACACATTTTTTTATAAAGAGGGGAGAAGAAAAAACAAAATCAAAATCATCACATGATTTGAGGCCTTCATATCTATGTTTTAATGTAAACCAGAGATCTTCTTAGATATTCTACTTGTTAACCAATGTAGAAAAGCAGAGAAGCATTCTTGGGACTTCTTGTCTGGAAAATTTCCTTCCATGGAAATTCTAAAACAGATTTAAGCTCTTGTTGGGCTGACGTTGGTGGACAGAATTAAGCTGATGAATTTAAGTTTGACAAAGTGTTATACATTTAAATAACATTTAATTAACACCAGCCAATTTTAGTGAAGAGGTATTTACTGAAGGTATTTGATATGTGGGGGGAAAACATTTGGGACTATAGATAAACTTCAACTTGCACAGCTGCAAACTCAGCTAACTGTACATATAAGATACAGTAACACAAGTTCATTTTCTTTCTGTATTCAGAAGTCCTAAACCAGTTAGGAGTGTCTTATTCGAATAGATTAGAATATATTTATCATTAACCCAGATGCAGCAAAGATATCTAGAATTACAATGCCTCCTAGTGGAAGTAGTAGGAAAGGTATGGATTCTTTCTCCTAGATTGGAACTTTTTATAAATGAGAAGCATTTTACAGTGAAAGCAAACAAGTGAAGCACCTTTGTTCTGACTGAATCCCTATTTTAAACATTCATTGGCCGTTACAATTTAGTTTCTCATTTTCATACCCTTCTTCCTGAATTTTCAGTTTCTTGTACTCTCAGTGAATCCATAACATTATTTCTTTTCAGAAGCATTTCAGCAGCAACTTTACCACCATACAATGTAGCTGAAACAATAAAGAGCAAATAAAGTAGATGTCAATGGGAGAATTCTAAGTATTACCCCAAATCCTTCTTTCTAGTTAACTTACCTTTAACTGATTATTAATGAAGTTGATGAAATATAGATCCATAATTGTGAAAAACATAATGTCTTCATTGCTATATCCAATGGCAAAGAAATGTACTTACTGAAACAATCAAACATTAGCCTAGTTTATCCACAGATGAAAGGAAAAGAAGTGATTTTTAAAAGATCCATTCTTGTAACTTTTGCATTATCCATAAAGGATTTCTACTGCATAAAGCAAACTAGCATAATATTTTTGAGGTTTTTTTTAATTTACATCCCAATGATACAAAGTGTGATTTGTTTTAGAAACATATGCTGTGGTGCCAAAAAGAAATCGGCAACCCTTAGTGAATTCCTGGAAAGAAGGACTGTGTCATTTTGTTTCCTATTTCCTTCTTATTTTCTTGAATGTAGGCTGGCTACCTTAGCAGTAGGAAAAGCAGCTACCTAGAATAGCATTACTGGGGGAATTGCAGGTTTCTCTCATGGTAATCCAGAGATCTGCATTAACCCTGCATAACATATTTTACTTCTTAGAGAGAAAGCCAGCAAAATGCAAACAGGTAATCTTGCAAAGGGGTAGGGGTGGGGGTTAAGACTATACAGTGGGGCAAAAAAGTATTTAGTCAGCCACCAATTGTGCAAGTTCTTGTCAGGATTTTCTTTCTCATGGGAAAGGATTCATCCCGTTATCTCTACAACAATAAC